ACCACTTCCCATGGCGCTGCTGAAACAAGCTTGATTGTGAGCAGCGGCTACTCTCACCTCTTGGGGGTCTGAACCCCCTACTTCGCCGCTGTGTCGTCCCGAAGGACCAGACTCTCTTCGCAGGTCCGCTGCCTGCGCGCTCCCGTCGTACTGCACGGTCCCAAAATGACCTGCAGTGCTTGTGGCGACGCTCTCCACGGCGCCGCCGCTTTCAGCGGCGCCCTCCGTGGCACCGCCGGACTTCTCCTCTATGCGTGCAGCAAGTCCTCCGACCAGCTGCACCAGCTGGCCCATTTGCTGTGTCAGCGAACTGACCTAAGACCGCATGCTGTCGATCTGCTCGCTGCTATTTGTGTCTCCTGTCTGCGAGCCGTCCGGAGTGGTCCCTCCGGTTCTGCGGCCCGCCATCCCTAATGGACTCCCTCGAGGGAATAAACACTAGTGTGTTGGTATGTCCGTACTTGGGAGGAGAAGACACGCTTTAACTCTCTCTGATTAGGCACCCACGGGAGCGAGGAAAGGAAGGGAAGAAGTGGCCCTCCCGAAGTCGGGGAAGGGGGCCCACACATAGCAGCCCTTTTTAGGCATACGCATGCTCCTGTCTACGTACCCCCCCGTGCTGGTAGCAGATCTACCATCTGCCATGCTCGTATCCAGACACACGAACAGAGTGTTCTCACTCTCTCGTCGTCTTCGTCGGGGATTCTTTGTCGGAGACGTGGGTCTCGGCATTGTTTGGCGAAGAATCTTTGACCTTATAGCCCAGGCTCTTGAGGTCAAACGATCGCCATAGACACGCCTAGAGGAGAATGCAAGGAGCTTGGAATCACTACTTACAGGCTGGTTCAGGGAAATGGACCAAAATTTATTCAACCACTCCTGCCAGACGAATTTTGTACATAATGTTGACAAAAGCAGTATCATAGTGACCCCCACGAGCAAAGGAACAAATCATCGTGGCCGGAATTCCGATTTAAGGCTTCGCTGGGAAGATATGGGCTATTACGTGCCTCAGCCAATGAGGAGCCTCCAAATATTTCGATGATATGCAGGCTTTTCCCAAAACGGGGACAAAAAACATAATTACGCCGCATTTTGTTTTGAAAATCTCAGCCGTTGTCGCAGCTCCTGCTGCACCGGTGCTGCTGTACAACCAGCTGAGTACCTCTGCACACGCGTCTCGTACGCAAGGAGACCCTCCACAATGGAGCCACTACAAAGTGTGGATCCCAACGCTGACACCCACAAACGCAAAGTATCGCAAGTTTGCGCAGTGCAGTGCAGCAACACGAAGCGTTGGAGGCTCAGATGCACGCATCACCCACGGCCACATGCGACGGGCATTCGCAAGAACACCGCCTTCACGTATGAGACGAAGGCGGAAGCGCTCGGAGACGCGGACAACTGGACAAGTGAGCTGGAGAAGCCCATGCGAAGGCGGAGCTTGTCGCCCAAGCACGGTGAGTCTACGATTACTGAGCGGAACTTGCTGCACGTAGCTACTGCTGCGGCAGTTGCTGTACAGCAGTACTGCTGTACAACCGCAGTAGCAGCAAAGCGGCAGGGTGTGTACTCCGTGGTGGGTTGAAACATGCAGCAAAGTAGCAACCAGGCGGGCGCGTTGCTAGCACGATGGTGACATCTGCAACAAGACTAGCCGGCGTTCATGCGTATGGTTGGTGCGTGTTTTCCATGACAAGTGTAGCTGTGTGAAAAAACGGCAAGTTGCAGTACAACAGCATCCATATGTATGTATGCACTGGAGAACCTCGACATGAATCCCGTTGTTTGCATCGGACAATCTTGAACAGAGTAGACGAGTTGTGCAGCATGCAGCAGTGCAGTACTACTCGTATTGATACAAAATAGTATAGTGTATTGTACAACCCATCTCTGATTTGTGCTTCTAATAGAACACAGCAGTGCTCAGCAGCACGCAAGTGTACATACAAGAAGTACAAAGTGGTTGTACACGCCAGATCCGAACTTGTGTTTACAAACTGTCTCTATTTTATTGAACGCACCAGGGCATACAGCAGCAGCACGCAATTGTACAAGAAAACATTGTGTACAAGTCAGGCCCGAACTTGTATACATGCAACCCGTCTCAAAAACAAGGTGCCCAACTCTTACAAGTCGCGTCCAGCAGCAACCGACACAAGGGCATACCGCACCCACTGATAAACACAGACACCAACATTGGCTTAGAGGGGCTGTCGTATTGCACGACGCGAGGCTGTGTGTTTTGCAGAGTACAAGGATTGACATTCACGGGTTATTCTTCAATTTGAGTAACGGTCCTCTAGCAGGCGCTCTTTGGTTTTTTCTACCAAGACACAGTCCTTGTACCCAAGCTTCATCGCACAGTTTAATTAACAGCCATACTATCGCCGTATGTTCCGGTCTGTCCTCCGTTAAAATTACCCCCCACCGGTGTTCAGGCACGACGCCGAACTAACTGCGAATTCGCCAAGAAGTGTGCCATCCAAAAACAAGCGGGACGCGCTAGAGCTTTGAGGGGGTTGCAGCAGGAGGCCAGAATCCTGATGCGCCTACGCTGCAGCAGGTTGCGTAACGCCGGACTCGGGCGCCGGGCGTTTGCGTACGTCAGGCGCGATCGCAAATCAGAACAGCGGAGGAGATACATGGAGCGGCGGGTTGCAGAGTGCGACCAGGAGGCTGCTGCAATGGACGCACAGGCCGTGGCTATGTTCTCCACGCTAACGAAGGGGCAACACGTCACGCTGCTGGAGCCTCACGAGCAGCCACCCCCGGTGATTGATGCACCCACGAGCGACATCAGCGTGGCCGACCCTCCGGAGGTTCTCGCCGCACACGCAGCGGCCGCGGCGTTGGACGAGGCTTCAAGGCTCGCCGTCGAAGCCGCAGCTGCCCGTCAACAAGTCGAGAAGGACAAGGCAGCAGCCCTCGAGTGCAAGGCGGAGTATGAACGACTAAAAGCACTCGCCGGACCTTTCTTCTCCATGCGACGTGCACGCAACCCCGGATAACCGGTTGATATGTCTTTGATTATTTTGGAACAGTTCCTATAGCCCAATGCATTGGTTGCACAGAGTACGGTTGTATTTTTTTATGAAGTGATGGACTTGGTGCGTTTTTCATGCCTGTCGATCGGGTTATCCCGTCTCGACATAGTATTCGTTCGGTGCGGTGTGACCCTCAGCAAACCGGTCCATGCATGTTGGCATGTTTGCGTTCTCGGTGCATGAATCAACAGTGTTTTATCACCCAGTTAAGCTGGCACAAGGCCGCGCTGCGATGATAAAAAATCTCTCTTCGGGGCAGCACGGTCGGTGTTTCCGTCTAAAAAGTAGGTAGATTCTCTTGCAGACCCCAACATGCCGGTAACATGGCTGTTTGTGATTCTTTCTCTAACCAACGACACCGTTACAGTGCAATGAAGCTTCGCATGGAGTTTCGTCGACATCTTCCATAAACTGGCCTAATACGGTCGAAAAATGGTCGATTTATGACTTGCCGTCGGTGGGCCAAACTGCGTTGGAGATAGCCCCTTTTGCGGGACCCCAAAAATCTGTCCCAATATGTTATTTTTTTTTTCTTGATTCTACCTTACCTACATATTCCAAAGACCGTGTCTATGAATTTTCATGAACTAATTCGATGAACTGATGAAATGGGGTCGTTTGGGCGCCAAAAGAACCTGAATTTCGCCGTTTCATACTTTAATCAAGTAGTTTGGGGAAATCCAGGATGCGAAATACTTCATGGCACAAGAGCTGAAAACTTCACGCCGTTTTTATGAGTTAGACTCTAAAACTTTGCACACATGTACCTTGGGTCATTACGAAACGCTGTGTGGCGGGGCCTTTTTCATTTCCTTCCATGGTCGCCAGTTATTCGGGGTCCCAGGAGCCGCACACGACCCCGAAATCTCTAGGACCCCGGATATCCGGCGACAGGGAAAAAAAAAAGGCCCCTCCACACAGCGTTTTGTAATGACCCAAGGTACATGTGTGCAAAGTTTCAGAGTCTAACTCCTAAAAACGGCGTGAAGTTTTGCTGTTGAATCTTCTTGTATCCATTTCCCTGAACCAGCTTGTATCACAAATATTTGATTGTCTATGCCGATAAACGTCTCTCTGCTGCATATAAATATGTAAATGCATCCATGGCGGCGGCGAAGAGACCAAAAAAAACGTGTCGGTGGTAGTTATTACTTCTCTTGTTTCACTTGAACTTGTTGATGTGTGGATGTACGTAGATATACATAAGTCTATATATGTACAACCAAAGGAGAGACTATGTGTACTACTGTGCCCGTTTGAGATAATACCACACAGCACAGTCGAAGGGGGATGTGTTGAAGTCTTAGTCTTTGCAGTGGGTGGGGAGGAAACCAGAGCTAGCAGCCCATTATTGCATTGAGTATTCTCATAGAAATGTATATCACGGTTGGTTGTCCGCGATAAAAATGCTGCAGTATCATTAAAATATTACTTCTTTTTGTATTGATTTCGTTAGGTTTAGGCCTCCTACAGTAAGGTCCATCGAAATACAGAGGAGTGTGCACATGCCATTACATCTCGTACTGTGCATGGAGGACGCCACACCAACAAACTCAGCCTGTACCAAAATGAAGAAAGACACAATGAAGAGTTATTTTTGTTCACCTAGCATTCATTCCTACACACACACACGAAATCACCAACATGACGCAGCTATTGTAGCTACAACTCATCCTCTGCTGTTGCAGTTTGCCCGAGTAAATAGTTCTGGCAGCACCAGGCGGCTCACTCGGTCAGAGTCGGTCCCTGCTACCCTCGGTCAGAGTCGATCTCGACAACCACTTGCTCTCCCGGACGAGCAGCTTGGACACATGCATGCCCTACATTTTGTCCTGGTGTGCGTCTGCACAAATTGAGATCAACTGCCGCTTAGACCCGCGAACAGGTAGGGGTAACATTAGTTTTTTTTTGTTTTTTTTTGTTTTTCTCCCATCATTGGACTCTGCCGTCTGCCCCTCTGGCCCCTATCCTCCACTTCTACTAGCTAGACGACCCAACCGGTGTCACATAGGAGGGGGGGGTTGGACCCCCTCCTGCGGTTCATGCCTGAGGTATTTTTATCGCGAGAAGGGTACAGCAATCCCTTCCCTCGCGACTTACGAAGTCGATTATGGTTTACTAACAAACGAGCTTTGCAGCGCGTCGCTTTCATCCTAGACCAGGATTTATTTAGTGAGAAAAAAACTCTCTGCCGGGACTCAAACCCATGACCTGGCCCTTAGTAGGCTGCGAGGCTACCCACTAGACCACCGGGGTGTACCCCATCGAAGGAATCACGTGGACACCACAACCAATCTCTTCCACCAATTCAATGCAGTCACTCTTCTTGCCGACGGGAGTTTCTTTGAACCGTGTGAGAACCAACGCTCGCAAGGCTCATCCAAGGGCAATCACTGTCCTGACTGCCGAGAGCCAGGGTTAATAAATATGTGGTACGTATAGTTTATTCTCCTTAAGAGATACGGCAAAGCTGACTCACTTTTGCTTCCCTTCTTCCGCGTTTTGTAACAACTCTCCGTGAGGAATCTCGCCTCACTCAGAACTGCGTACGTAGTGCTACGCTCCATTCTGAGCTTGGACGACCAATCTCCCAAGGTGACCTACAATCCTACGCTCATCGCTCTCAAAACGGCACGCTCACTTTCGTATGTATACAGAAGGAGCCGCTGATTTCAGAGTGTGCGCCGGCCGTAGACGCACTCCAAGGAATCCGAGATCTTTCCGTTCAGTTGTGTATCATGTACATCTTGCGAGCGCACCACAGTACTACTCCTATCGCGGTCACGGTCTCATCTGCGTAACGCGACTGAGCGCGGAAACTGGCCTCTCTCTTGCCCTTCCCACCCCCCTCTGCCTCCTACATATAGATGTACTTGGTAGGTGTACTTCGTCTCTCACTTGCCCTTCCCACCCCCCTCTGCCTCCTACATATAGTTGTACTTGGTAGGTGTAAAATGTCTTCGAAGTACACCGCGAGCCTCCCTATTGACGTCATGCTAAAGTGGAATACGTTCTCCCGACATTCGAGCGATGGCGACAAAAATTCCCGTGAATAGGGGAACCATTCAAAAACCTCACAGCTTTGCATACGATAACGTTATCGATGTACCCGACATGGACCCCAAAAGTAGCTAGAAGCTACTATAGACCCCTACAAACCACAGGAGAAATCCTCATCGTGCTTTGCCAACAAAACTGTGGGACCGTCCAGCATCTCTACAGATGTTGCGATACAAATCGCGAAACGAACTGCCCTCCAATATGAGTTACCCCATGGGATGGAATATCAAAATGACGAAATGACCTAGCAATCGAGCGTCATGGGCGCACGCAAAGGCATGTAGAGGGGACACTAGAATCGCAATGTTGCCTCTCCTTATACACCTGTCTATATGTGTCGCTACGTGTTTTGTATGCGTGTAGTTTCATGGTTGCTGTTGTTGCACGCCGGATCTTCTAGTCGCACCCGGGTGAAGACTGCGTGTTGCTGTGCCTACCCCTGTCCGTTTCCACGGCGCTCACAGCGGACTGCGACAGCACTTGGAGCCCAGACATGGGTCCACGCGACAGCTCCGCACCCCCACCTCCCCCCGCCCGCCCGGAGAGAGTATTGACAGCGGTCGACGCGCTGCTAGCGTTCGCCATGGGCGACTGGGGGTACACCCACGAGAGTTGCTGCTGCTCTTGCTGCAGGTCGCGCGGAACGGCGGTGCCAGGAGGAGGGGGAGGAGGAGAGGCATCACCGATGGCCCCACCACCAACGCCTCCGCTACCGCTCCCTCTGTTCGGGGGGCGGATCTTGGATGAGTTCTTAGAGACTCGCGGTGGAAGCTGCTGTCGCGAGGACCCAGTGGGGGGAGTAACATCTGAAGTGTGTACTCCAGCTGCTGGTATCGTAGCTGCTGCAGGTGCAGCTGCAGGGCCTACGGGCGGCTGTACTGGCTGTTGTGCCATCTGGTATCGGATCTGGGCACAAGAGCATGTGGAAGATACAACATACGAAGCATGTCGGCGTGGAACAGGCGTTAGGATAGCCTTGTTGGGGAGAACATTCCTGAACACTAACTTGGTGGTTATCAACGTACACATCAAGTCGCTGCGGTTTACGAACACTTCATGAGATCAGAATTGGGGGTCCCAAAAGCACACTTTTGGAGCCAATAGTGGACATTGCCCAAATTCTTTGATCGCCAACATCTTCTCAAAGACACAACGTCTTGCATAGGTGCCATAGCTACTATAACACGGGTGGATCAGAAGCAAAATTGCACTCACATGCTCACCTGGTTGGGCGCCACAGGATATTGTTCTGCGAGGGGGGGCTGCTGGCACGGTTGCGAGTAAAGCTGGTGGCCCTGCCACTGTTGTTGTTGCTGCTGCTGCTGTTGTTGCTGCTGCTGCTGCTGCTGCTGTTGTTGTTGCTGTTGTTGCTGCTGCTGATATTGGTGCTGGTGTTGCTGTTGCTGCTGATCAGTAGAAAAACGCGGAGCCATGTAATTGCTGATTGGTGCTCCATACATGTATGGGTCTTGGCCAACTGGACCCATGTTGCCACCTCTGACACCTCCACCCCCTCCCCACTGCCCAAATCCACCACCGCTACCACCACCACCGTGAGTGGCGGTGCCAGGGGTAGTCACGGGCAGAAAGGAAGCCGGGTTGCTGCTGGTGCCACCGCCACCACCACCGCCACCGTAATTAAAACCGCGGCCACCGCCATTACCACCACCGGGGTTACCGCCATTCTGAAGGTGCATCAGGAGATTGCTGTGAACCGGTCCACCTCCCTGCTGGGGGTGGTTGCCGCTGGTTGCCCCCATCAGCATCGATATAATGGTGTCGAGCTTGCCGTTCGCTTCTCTCAAGTCCTCGCTCAACGTGTCCACGTCCGCTCTTAGTGTGGTCAGAATGTCCGACTTTTGCGAATCGGCTGGAGAAGGTTGGAAACACGAGAGTAGCAGTGCACAGTATGGGGAGGGACTTGCTTGAGAGGTGTGTTCACGATGTGCCTGGGAACGAATGAACCCGTTCCGTTGTCGGAACGACCAGGGGTCTTGGTTTGGTGCATGTCACGACAACGAGAAAGCAGGGAGGCCGGCCGCGACACAAGATCTGCTAAGAATACGAAAATCAAACTCTTGCCATGCCTGTTAGTTATCCCCCGACGTGCGTTAAATGCATCATTCGCTGCGCTTAACTTCATTGTCTTATACGTCAATACCTCCCGTCTGAGGGTAAAACAGAGGGCACTGGAGAGTAGGGGGGGGTGGGGTGCTTTCTGTCGAAAGGAAAACCCGAGGGGCAAACTGGGGGAGTGGGGGGAGTGCTCGGCTCGAACGGGAATAATAGGCCAGGGGAACAGCGCTCGAATTCGGTTCTTCAACAAGGTAAAGCCATCGGCCGTTGCGATCATTCTAACCCAAAGTGTGGCGGTGATTGATTGCCGTGGTTGTCCCCCTGCTGCCACCCATTTAATCACCGATCACCAAAACTCTGCATCGCGGGGTTTACTAAAGGAGGGTTTCAGGTATATAACCTCTCCCAATAACACACTTGAGAAAATCACACAGAAATTCAAGCAGCAAGTCCAACTAAGTGAGGCCTCGCTCCAGAGGTGGCCACGCAATTGAGGCGATTCCGCATTAAATGTTCGTCCCGGCACATCCGCATAACGTGGGTTGCGGTACAACACGCCCCGGACACATTATCGAAGCCTCATAACTCCACGAAGAGGATGCCGAAATCAACTGGTGCGTTTTCGGGAAGCTCTCGACGAAATGGTTCTACTGTAACGCCACCATTTCCGGTAACGTGACTGCCTTTCCTAGTGACTAATCGCGCTCTGAAAATCGGTCCATGGGGTGCGATATCTTACGTAACCTACGGTAGTGCAGATGGCACGCTCGCTGGTAAGTACCTCGTTTTCGCTTCAAGCGACCGCCGTCCTTCTGCCGTTTTATGCCCACGAGGAGATCCCTCCGGCCCCGGCGAAACTGCGGGTGCCTGAACTCCTCCCACGAATCCGATTCTCTTGCCCCGGTCGACCCCGCGCCCGCCTCGCCCTGTGAATCGGCTGCAGAAGTCCTCGAGCGTGTCGACGCACCTCCCTTGACCTTCTTGAAGCCTGAGTGAAGAAATCAGCCACGAAAGAGCAGACAAGTAGAGGTTTAGTGGCTGCGGGCCGATTTCAACTTTGCAGCCACAGCCTCGTGGATCGTTCCTGCTCGAGGGGACCCATACTCGCCGCGGGTGCCACATTTGAGTCTGTCTTTATTTACGTAGGTTTTCGGACGAAATCAGGGAGTAGACACACGAAACAACCGGCACCACACCCAGACATGAGTCCAAGCCAAGTTTCGCCTGGGCAGCGCCAACTACTACAACCGCTACTGCTACCTCGTACTGTCCTGCACACATGTTCGGTATCGACGCTGCGAACATACTGCACGAAATGTCACGCACAACAATATCGCGACAAAAACACCATCCTGTTTCAGATATCCTCTACCAGAGAACTCACGCGCAAGAATGGCAGGCCGATAGCGCGCTGGAACTCACCGTAGAAGTTGAGTTGGCGTACGAAGGAGAGGAACTTCTTGTGGTTGTAGTATGACGGCAGGAGACCCTCGAACACCAGAACCTGCAAATGTTTAGACGAGAATAGGACAAACAGGAAGAAGAGAGGAGGAGAGAGATAGACAAAACAGCAGCGCAGGAAGGAGCGAGGAGAAACCGACGTCAGTAGCTGAATCGTCATCGGAAAACGTGCAGCGCATGCACACGCGTTTGTGGTGGCGTACGAGTCTACCCTGCACACGTTTGCGGATCACGAATGGGGCATGTAGACGAAGAACCCAATATTCCCCAACATCCTGCACTCTGCTTGCTGCTACCTGCTGCTGTGAGTTTTTTTCTTTTTTCTCGCATCATTGGATTCTGTCGTCTGCCCCGCTGGCCCCTATCCTCCACTTCTACCAGCTAGACGACCCAACCGGGGTCACATTGGAGGGGGGGGTTGGACCCCCTCCTGCGGTTCCTGCCTGAGATGTTTTTATCGCGAGAAGGAGTGTCCCCGGCTGATGCACAAATACACACATACGAAATCAATCAATCTTCTCCACTCAATGCACACTCTCCTGCTCTGGGCACACCTGCTGCGAGCGTCTGCGCCAAATCGTCGTCGTGATTGTCGAACTGCTCAGGGTAGGTTCTACGAGGAAGGGAGACAAAGAACGCGCATTTTTCTTGTTTTTTTAGGCACCGCCAGAAAAATCGTCCAACATAAGGTAACCTGCTTCAAGCTACATAGCCGGGGTTGTACATGGCCGCCCAGGCCACCTCTAGCAAGGGTGCGGGGTAGGGTTCCTGTCTCAGCACCGAGACGGTAACAACCACTGCTGCTCTGACAATACAGACGTAAAACTGCGCCTCCCGACAAGAACTGCATTAAAACAGGGAGTTAACTGCCGCAGATAAATCACGGATGGACGTTTTCGCAAATGTTCACTTCCGGCACACGTTGCGGTCCCAAACGCAGGTGCCTCTGCATGGTGACATGCCGTCATTGGCGTACCCACCAGTCTTCATTGTCTCCATGACGATCCACACACCCTTCAATTCTCCTCATTCTCCTCAGAACGGTGTGAACTCGTAAAATCGTCACACACTGCTGTGGCATTTCAAGCATCGTGATACCAGTTTTGGAAGCACGGAAGGACATGTTCGCTAGGTATACACAACAAGCGTACACACCCCGTCTACCCAACACTGGGGATAAGCATAATATCGCCCGGATAAACAGAGTTATGGAAAAATGAACGGTCACTTTGAGTGACACCTCCATAACAGCCAGGATAACGTATGCTTTCGGTGACATTGGCCGGTCCCAGAAAACGAAACGATTTGGGTAACACGTTCAAAATCTGCCCTGGGAGAAGTACGGTTGGGCAACATTTTGAAGTCGACCCCGATACGGGTGTACACCCTACCTACCGAATGCGCTCCTTGGAGTTTGTATGTGCTCTTCCGTGTTCTGATACAACGACCTTCCGCCCGTGCAAGGGAGGTTACATGTCCTGGCGGACAGTCAGTTGGAGCCCGCATGGAAGACACGCCATGTTTTCGGGTCGCGGCTCGATTTCTTGTTTCGAAGCCAGCTCTGAGCATAGGCTGTTACAAAATCTTCAATGCACAAACACGTGCGCAACGAAGAGATGCACCAGTCCGGCGCGCGCCCGCGCCCGAGTTAATGTCCCCGACGAAACAAATCTGCACAAGGACCATCCCAACCCCCTTTCCAAGGACCCATAAACACGAACCTAGCTGTCACGTGTGGATCTGGAATTGGAATAAAGCAAAGGGTAGGCATTAGAGTTAAACCGGTTTTACGCCCCGGCCACTATACACGTAATAATAGAAAAAGAAACAGCGAATACAAATGATACAGGGACTTGTGTTCAATCACAGTGGTAGCCGACTGCGGGTTCGCGGATGATGCCAGGAAAATCTCGCACACCATGACGCACAGCAGTGAGGTTGTATACCTCTACCAACCGCACGACCAGTTAAGGGGCAAGTTTCATCGCTTTATCTGCCCACACATGTATTGGTCGGCAGTTATTTTGTCGCTGTTCATATGCTACTTTCTCATCAGGCGCCCTCTTAACTCAATATCTCTGCTGCGCCATTCATCGAGGGCGCCTACGCGGTACGTGTTTTGGTTTGACGATCTGTAGCCGAGGCGGGTGATTCCTAAAACATGTGTGCATGTACAAGCATGGTGCTTCATGGTTCCATTGCTTACGTATTGATTATTGTGGCTTAGACAAAGCAAAACATGAAGACGCTGAGTCGATCGATGGTCAGCACGAAAAATTGGTCTACACACCAAGAGTAGGTGAGTTGCACACACTGAAATAAAGAATCAATCCCTCGCCCCAAATATACAACAGCAGTTACCGCGAATAGCGAACGGTGCGTGCTGCCCGTCATAAACGTGGGCCAATTCTAACTTCAATGTACTTAGAGTTCGGTGTAATGCCGACCATGAATGGTCTGAAACGCACTGATATAGGGACCACTGCTGCAATCGCCGACTCCATGGCGGAGGGATAAGAGTAGGATTTACGGGTTTCAGAATGAGAACGCTTTCAGCTTTTTGCACGGGGTGTTTTCGGTCTGTTAAGCATCCTAGAGCATGGCTACTTGCGCCAACAAGTGGGTGCATGATTCTTTTCGCTGGTCGTGATTACTGAGAAGTCGAGTAAGGTGTCTTTGTGCATGACACTCCCGATGAGCAATCGAGAAATCTGGACCGGACCCGTGCGGAGATTTTTTTATCCTCATTTACCCCTTTGGACGTACTGACTGATCGTTGATTGCTCGTTTGCAGATGCTTGTCTAGTGGCAAGCAGTGGGGAGCAGAACCCTGTAGCCTTTTCACATCGGGTGTTGGGAAGTTCATAGGTATACAAGGTGGTCTGACGGCTTTCGCCGCCCCGCTCAATAGATCGATTCCAAGATACGCGATCAGTGGTACTCAACATTCGTCGCAGTAAAAATTGATCAAAAATGGATCGGTGCAGAAGAAAGAAAGAAGGCGTAATCGATTCGTGCCAAATACCACACACAGCAAATGGAATATGCATAGATGAACGGAGAGTAGTAGTGCTGGCGGCTTTCGCGTGGTTCATCCTGTGTAAACTGAATGGATATCCGTACGTTCAGCAGCAAGCTGTAACGCGGCACACAGAGTTCAAATGTACATACAACGTACGTGCGGAGTGCGGAGTTGAAATATGATTACTCGGCCACATACATATGGACTGGTGTGTCAAACGTATTACTTGAGCCACACAACTGGGATGAGCGGCCCGGCGAGCGGACAAGGGCCGAGCAACACAAACCGACCAAATCGTTGGAGCTGTATGCTGGTGTCATCAGCAGCTAGAAGCGGTAAGGGAGACCGCGGAGAGTGCGGAGAGCCATAAGACGTGCCGCTCATCATGTGAACAAATGAATATGCACTGGCAGTATGACGCTGTATTGTGTGCCGCTCGAGATGGAAGATGAATGAGTGGGCCCGCCAAGAGTGGTCTGAATCGTTAACCGCGCGAGTTTGACTGGGGTGTCCGCTGACCGGTTCGTCCGATTTCACGAGCAGGCGAGACAGAACCACCAGTGAAGTATTGGTATGTGAGGACCGAGGCGGAACGGTGAACGGAAAATATTAGAAAGCTCCAAAGATCCTGGAGAAGATGAGAGATGGACATATATGAACAATATGCATACGACATGTGACAGCCGAGACACAGGCTGGTGTATGAGAGGGGGGAGAGAGACTGGCATGCAACTTGAACGTATGGAGAGCAGAGGAAAAGGGCGAAAGGTTCCTCGAGCGAGCGACGCAGAGTGAGAAGACACAGATGAAGGGATAGCGGAGAAGGAATGACAACAAAGCGAAATGTTTACATAAATGTGCAACGTACCGATAACGCGACATGGAAGCACCGCGAGACAGACTGGTGGCGTGTGAGAGCAGAGAGAGAAAGAGAGGGATAAGGAGACTGGCACACAATTCGATGCGTCGTGGATGGGGAACAAACGAACGCGGCGACCGGTACGCGAGCAAGGCAGACGCGAGCGAGGCAGACGCAGACCGACAAGACAAATGTATACAATTGTAGAGGAAGCGCCGGAAAGATCCCGGAAATCCCGGAGGGACGGGAATGCGGCTCTGTGAGCGGCCGAGAGCGCCGAAATGGAGCCCTTACTTGTTTACGTTTGGTGAGAGGTGTTTGCGCTGGGAAGGTGTTCGACATGTGTGGAAGTAGAGATGGTTGTTCGAAGAGAAAAGTGCCAAAGGGCGTACCGATTTCAGGTAACTTGGGGGGCTCGCAGCTGGTAGTGTTCCGTGCCGGAACTGGTTCCATCTGATTGGCTCCCAATTATACTGTTGTATTCTTGAAGAGACTGGATTGAAAACGTGAACGAAGGCGTGCGGGGGAGGAGCCGAGAGGAGCGAGAGAGCAGGAGGCGTCTTGCCTGCGTTTCAACCCGTAGGAAACCCGTGCACGACGGGTCCATAGACGTCTTACATCGCGCAGCAGCTGACTGACTGACAGAGTGACAGGTATGTCAATTATCGGAGCCGAGAGAAGCCCCGTCCCCGGAGGGTTGAAAGTTGAACGTACATAGACGTGGAGGGCCCGACTGGAGAGCCCGACGCGCGAAAGAAAGAGAAAGGCGAAGCCCTGTGCGAACCGTGTGAGTTCAGTTAAAAGCTGTCATGAGCAGAGGAAAGAAAAGGTGAACACGTTCTCCGAGCGAGCAAAAAGCGGAATGGGAAAAAAGGAGCGGAAAAAGCGGGAAAACAAATGGAGGCCTGTTAGCGGCCGAGAGAAAATTCTGCTTGTCAGAGAGCCAAGTTTTATAATGAAACAGAGATATCTTTACTGTTTGCGACGACCGCGCTAACCGGCTGACCACTGGAGAGACAGTGCCAGCGGGTAAAACACAGGTCTCGGGAAGCGGGCCAAAACTCGAAAAAAGCGCAATGCGCTAAATGAGAACGCCAAAATTCATCTGCTGCAAGTGAGACACGCAATGTGGATATCCTGCGTGTCAATCTTGGTCCGGGGGGAAGGGATCGGGTGCTCCAATATTTCCACATGCCCTTTGAGAAGCGATATACATGTCCGGACGTGTTGCCCGTGCAGGATGGGAGAGGAGAGGTTGCCGAGAATTGTATGGGAAGCG